CCGGGGGGGGGGGGGGGGGGGGGGAGGTCCCCCCCCCCCCCCCGGGTTTCCGCGTCCGCCCCTTCCGCTGGCCCCCCAGCTCCCGGGCGTTAATCGGGGAGGGCTCCCGGACCGCCCGTGGTTTAGCGCCGTTTTTTTGTCCAGAGCGACCTTAGACTTCCAGAAGGAAACGACCTGCGTGGGGTGGCAGGAGTATGCACATACAGCGGGGGCCGGGGGGGGGGGGTACTCATGCCGATGCGTGCTGCAATTGTTAGACCATAGAGCGACCTTGGATCTCCGGAAGCTAACGACCTGCATGTGTCGCAGATATATGCATGTGTAGATACAGCAGCGGTGTGTGCGCCGCAGAAAAAAATGAGCATCTCCCCAACTTACACATAAAAAAACAACAAAAGCGAAGGGCACGTATCACCGGATGCACTGACGGTGATTTTTTTATTCTGTCGATTTTACATCCGTCCCCAAAACCGGCAAATAGTAATGAGCAACCACAATGATATTGAATTATGTTGATTCTATGGAATGTCTGTCCCCGGAACCAACTATGTTAGTAATAAGCGAACGCTATTTTTGGTTCGATATGTGGATACAGTCAGCTTCATTTAATGTCACGTTGTTTTGCTCTATATACTATAATGTCGGTTCTGGGGACAAACATAAAATCGACAGAATAAAAAAATCACCTCGGCGGCCGGCAATAGCGGGGCGTACGCGTGGTGCCAGTCCAACGGGTGCAGCAGCGCTTTCAGGGACGACACCGCCAGCGACAGCAGGCTCCGGACGCTGCAGGTCACCAGCACCGGTCGCTCGCACATCAGGGCGGACAACGCCAGCAACACGTTGTCGGAGCTCAGCGCCTGAGAGAGATGTTCGTCAAAGAGTAGTAGGTACAGGCGGTGCACGATCGTGAAAATTAACTTGGGCGGAGAAGGCCGGGTGCTGGGAGACGGGGTGTGAACCACGCGATTGTGTCGGTTCAGCTCCGCTATGCGAAGCAGGAGGGCTGTGTGGCGACGGTCTCCGGGGGGTACAGTTTAAACGTGGGGGCTCATCGGCACGTCGTTAGACCCACCGCCGTGTACCAGCTTTTAGGCAGAACACGAGAACAAAGTAAGTGCAGGGCTTCGCAGCCAAGGCATCCCCATAGGAACGTCCTGAAACCCTTACAATACGAAAACTGAAACTAGCCATGCCAGCAACCAGCAATGGGTTAAACGCTTGCGATATCTCATCGCTGACAAGCATAGCTGGGAGGCAGATGGTAGAGCTCCAGCGGGAAGCATGCGGGCAAAGAACCGGAGCGGTTGTACCTACAGGTGGCAAAACATCCAACCCTCTCACAGCCTTCTACCGCCGCGCTCCCAAGCCATTCCCCTGTCCCCACAGGGCTCTCGAAAACGCGGCATGTCACTCCGCCACGGCATTGTGGGATGCGAGGTCTAAATACTACGGCATGCGTTTACATCAGTACACCCCCCCACCTGGAACAACGGCTCAACCGGATGATCCAGAGGCACCAGCGGCGGCAGCCCGAAGGCCGACAAGCCCCCGGCGATGCGGTCCCCGCTCCTGCCCCCAATAGCCCCGCCGCCGCCTCCGCCGCCGCCGCCCCCCCGCCACGGCCCTTCCTCCTCGGTCGAATACCCTCCTTCCCCCGTGGAAGACCAGCCCCCCATCGAGTCCGGCGCCGAGTTCGACTGCACGAGGGGGGGGGGCTTCCTCAACGTCCTAGCCGCGTCGCCCCCTGCGTCTCGAGATAGCGACGGCGCGAAAACCGACGGCAGCGTCGGGCCCGGGGTCGGCGGCGGCGGCGGGAGGATCGGCAACGGCGGCCGCCCGGCCTTGAGCGTGGCGGCGTCCCCGAGCCCCCACTCCAGCCGCAGCCCCGCCTTCTCCCCGCCGCCGGCGGCGACGGCGGCGGCGGCTCCTCCGGCCGCTGTGGCCAGGCTCTTGCCACCGCCGCTGCTGCTACTGCCAAGATGGTGATCCCGCTGAGCTGCCGCTGACAGCTCTACGCCACCGCCTCCCCGCCCGACCATGAGCGCTCTGGCGGTCTCCGGGTGACCCCCGCGGGCGAGGGCTACCGCGCGGAGCGTGTCGAAGAGAGGGTCGAACGACAGCGCGCAGACGCACCTAGGAACGTACGCGGTTGTCTTCGCCCTGGCTCCGTCCTCCTCGTCATCGTCGTCACTGTCGCGGCCCCAAAGGTCGCCTTCGTCGCCTTCGTCGCTGTCCGCCTTGCGCCAGACCGTCAGGCAGGCGCCGTGGAGGACGATGTTGCTGTCGCGGTCTATCGCCGCGGGGAAAGTTCCTTGCGTCGCCTTCGCGATGGCCCACCGCCGGTCCGACTCCTGCCGATTCACGCCTACACGGGCGTGTTACACGCAGAACACGGGGGGAGGGGGGGGGGTGCTGGCAAGCGGGGCCGGGGGCTCATCACCCAAAATACTGAGTGTGATGAGAGGTAACCCGTCCTCAATAGACGTTGGGGGGAGTGGCTTATTCTAAAGGTAATACCTTGCATGAAGCCGAAATCCTAGCTTGGAAACCCTCAAGGGAGGATAGAAACTGCGAGGTCCTGACAGGAAACCTCCCTTCAAAAGATCTGACCCTACCCGTCCACCCAGAGCTGCAAATCCTCTGTGTTCAAACACAGCTCGTACACATGGACGTCTCAGTCAGCCAGCCAGCCGGCGCTTTCGGCGGCAAACGTGTCCTCTTCGAACCACAGCTTTAAGGCTGTTCACAAGGACGTCGAAAGCCAGCCATCGATGGCAACATCTCCTGTTCTAATTACAGCTTTTACACACAAGGACGTCTGAAGCCAGCCTGCCCTCTCTCAATGCCAACATGCCCTGTTCGAACCAAAGCTTACACACAAGGATATCTGCAATTCCGATGGCGACATGTGCGTCCTACCTTTCCGACCGCCGTCACCGCCGCCGCCGACGCCGCCAGTGCTGCCGGCGCCCTCTCGCCTCCCCCCCCGGCTTCCCTCTCCCCCCCCCCCCCTTCCCGTCGACATCCTCGACGGGGACCCCACGCGGGGGGACACGGACGGAGACGACCGTTTCCGCGGGACTGTCATGACGAAGTGGTGGACCCTCGGCAGCATCGCCTCGGCGGCTTCGCCATCCCCTCGCTCGCCGTGGTGCCGCAGCGGCGGCGGTGGCTCGTTGGCAGAGGAGGCGAGGGAAGACTCTGACGAGGAGGAGGATAGCGACGACGACGACGAGAAGGTGATGGGGAAGGACAGGTCGACCTTCGGCAAGGTACGCTTCTTCTCGCCCGGCTGTTTTTTTTTTTTTTTTTGAAGGCCCCGATGACCGGAGAGCATGTGGACAGAAAAAGAGAAACGACGAGAAAGTTCACGATGACAAGGGAAGAGAACGGCGAGAAAGTTCACGATGACAAGGAAAGAGAAACGGCGAGAGAGTTCACGATGACAAGGAAAGAGAAACGGCGAGAGAGTTCACGAAGACAAGGAAAGAGGGAGGTGCAAGAGACGGAGGGGTTCCCGGGAGAGAGGGGTGAAAAGAGAGGGGTGAGTGAAAAGAGAGGGACAGGTGCAAAGAGAGGGGTGGGTGAAGAGAGGGTGCCGGCAAAGAGATACCGAGAGGGGGGCAGTGAGGGGAGAGAATCACGGGGGCTGCCAAGTGTACGTGCGTACGTACGTGATTATACGTCACCCCCATCGCGGGTGTAAGACCCGACAGCAATTCCGACGCAAAACCTCCATGCTCTCTCTCTCTCTCTCTCTCTCTCTCTCTCTCTCTCTCTGTCTCGTTCATGTCGAATCGCGAACACCTACCTTCTTCGCCTCGACACGTGCGATGGCGGACGGCAGGCAGTACCGAGGAAGGGCTTCGGTAACGTTCGCCGCCATCAGCTCCAAGATCTGCCCGTTCAATCGGGACCGTACCTGCGTCGTGGGCACGGCACGGGGTAACGTTTACGAGGGGGTGAGGCGTCGCAAAGGTGGGTGTGCTGGAGGGGCCGTTTTCATGATGACGGGGTGGGGGGTCAGCCAAAACAGGAGACGAAAGGGGTTGGCGAGAGTGGCCCTCCTCGTCAGGGGTGGTGAATTGGTCAGGGTAAAATACGTGGTGCGTCGTCCCCCGCGCCCGAACGACAAATTACAAAACAACAGCATCGTGCGAACAGAGGATTTCGCGAGATGAAATACAATACTGAGCCTCGCGGCGGCACTCCTTCTCGTCATTGCGGAGGAGCTCGGCACGAGCACAGCCAACGACGAAGCCAGGCTGTACGAAACATGTGTGAGAACGCACGAGCACGGGGCCACACGGCACACCACTTACACACGCATTTTGTGTCCCGCAAAGACTGGTGTCTGTCCATTGGCCAGCCAACGAACGCAGTTAACACTTGTCTAAAAAAAAAAAAAAAACACACACACACACACATGCGCATTTTGTGCCCCGCAAAGACTGGCGTCTGCTAATTGGCCAGCCGTCCACGCTCCTCCAAAAAAAAAAAACACCCGCGCACAGACACACACAAGGCAGGTAGGGTTAGGCGCCAAGAACAGTCTCGAGAACAGTCTCGAGAACCAGTCTCGAGAACCAGTCTCGAGAACAGCAGTCTCACCTCGGCGTAGTTGGTATCGCTCGAAGCCATGCCCGCCAGCAGCTCAACATCTTCCAACTCATCTTCCCCTCCCTCCCCCTCTTCTCCGTCCCACCCCCAGGCCGAATCCGACCTGGGGACGCTAGGGTCTCCTCCCCCCGTTTTTCGAGGAGGCATGTCTTGCAGCACCCTCGCGGCGATCACGTGCCGCATCTGCCTCACCTGTTGCAAGCCGCGAAGCACAGCAGCGTGTAGATGCAACGGCAGGTGGTGTTTATAAAGCGCTGCTACTGCCGCTGTCGTTGTTGTTGCTGTCTTCGCAAGGCGCGAGTAAAACGTACACATGTCGGAAGTTCTGGCCTCTCCTTATGACCTAGCTCCTCCTCCGAACTAACCCAACCCGTAAAGACAAACCTCCGACTAATCCACCGCCTAACTATTTAGTACAAGATAATTTGCCAGAATGATATCTCTACCTGGCACTACACATTTATTACTCTTGGCTTGGGGCACCCACGGCCTGGTTGATTTATCACTTCACCTACCACCGGCCGTTCTTGCGGAACACTGGCGGCAGACACGACAAGAACATCAGCTCGGCAAAAAATGGTGCCGATACCACAACCTTTGATCGTCGAAGCTCGTTCGAGCCATCGGTCGAAAAGATAACCGGTCACGTTTCGTGCCAATGACCCCACACACAACGCAACCAACAGCTCAAAGACAGCCATAGACCCGACGAACAACAAAAAACGCCGACAGCAGTCGGTAATCAGGTATACCACCTGAGACCAAGCGCCCCGCGTACGTCGCCACCCCAACGGGGGGCGCCGCAACCCCACACCGCACCCCTACCCCCCACCTTCGTTCGAAACCTCCTCAACAAGCGGCCGCCGGCTCCACCGCCGCCGCCCTCTCCCGCCCCGGGGGGAACTCCCTGCGGCGACGACCGCGCAGGCGACGCCATTCTCCCCGCCCCGTCCGTCGGAGACCCGTAAGCGCGGGGGGGTCCCGACGGCCGAGGCGGTGATCGCACGGAGCCCCTCCGCCCCTGCCCTCTCCCTTTCATTGGTAACGCCGCTGTTGCCGTTGCTGCTGCTCGTTTGGTGGCTGAATCTGGGGACCCGGGGGCCGGGGTGGCGGCGATGGCGGCGACGCCGTGGAGACCCCGGGGGGCTTGGCCCAAAATGGTCCCTCCCTTGGCCCCAGAGGGGGCGGGGGCGGGGGGTCCCGTGTCGTCGTCGTTGTCTTCGCCGTCAGTCGCTTCCTCGGTATCGACCTATTTTGTTGCGGTGCGAGGGCCATAAGAGCGGGTCATTGCTGGGAGTTTGTAGTCACGGAGGGAAGGCCAACAAATCAACACGGACCCACCCGTGCACAACCGCAAGGTTTGACAGCGACAGGTGCGTGCGTCTGCCTGCCCCTGGACACGAGGGTTTCATGGTGCGGGATGGACGTCCCGCAGGACGTTGTCGTCAACCTCGCCAAGTACCCAACAGACAGACACGGACATCGGCGCCTGCCCTTGCCTCACCTCCACCTTACGCCCTCCTATCCCTTCGAAACAAGCGGGCCTCATGAGCAACAGGAGACCGATGGTCCGTGCGTCACCAACAAACAGGAACCAATGTCATTCGCCGATATGTGAACCTCAAATTGCAAGCAATCGTCGCCCCCCGCACTCCCCCCTCGTCCGCCACTCCCCCGCGAAACATGTACCTCAAAATACAAACAAATACAGCCCCCAATCAACCT